ACAGTGGCGAGGTCAGAGAGAGAGAGGTCAGGGACCAACTGCTTAGCTTGGCAGAAATGAAAAAATGCCGCCTTTGTTGTAGTTGTAAGTAGAATAAGTTTTGATCACTGCTTCATGCCCTCCAAGCACCCGAATTTTCCAACGACAGTTCTGGAATTATGAAAGCCATCCCGCCAAACCATCGCAAGAGGTGTTGACATTTTGGGAGGTTGGACAGTTACAATGGAATGGTCTCAGGGGTTGGGTGCACATTTTTCTTTTTCTTTCTTTCTTATTGTTACTTTGTCCATTTTTTTAAAAAAAGCCACCCCGACTTCTGAATGTCCCCATTTCTCCTACAAGTGCTGCCACCGCTGAGCTCAGGTACTTGCCCTGAGTAGCAGCGACTGCAAGGCAACATCTCATGGCCTTTCCATGGCCACCGCTGCCGGCCCCCTCCCTTGGGCAGTTCGTAGCCCAGTTTATTATATTGGGGCATTTTTCTTTTTGTGAATCGACTAAAGAATAAAATAAAATAACATTGGGATTAAGGGCTTTTTTTCAGGGTGTGTGTGCTGTGCCCCATTGGTGGAGTGGTGGTGGCACTTGCCGTTCTGATAGGAAATACTTCGGGGGGACACAAAAATGGGGGGTCAAGGAGGGGGAGTTGTGGGGGAGTGCTAAACGTCCCTATTTTCATCTGAGGAATATTGGAGGCTATGCTTCTTGGTTGTGGTCTGCATTTCGTGCCCATCGTGTTTCCTCCATTTTGCAAAACAGCTCACCAATCCAGAGTTAGTCAACCCATGTTCTAGAAGTGGGGTGTCTTCTATTCGCCAGAGTTCCCCAAACAATTCATAACCCTGACAAAGGGGATGGACTGAGAAGCCCAATTCCATCCTGATTCAGTTTTATTGGCTCTCAGTCACAGATTGAATCTGTCCTGTTCTTTGTGGATTGTGAAGAAAGCACAATGTTCCATGTTATAAATATATAGAGAGGGATGGTGTACAGGTTTGTTTGGGGATTGTGGATTAGACATTGAAGATCTCTGCTGCCAAGAGCCAAAAACTTCCTTGAACCTTGTTAATTGTGAAGCATATGAGTCACATAACCCCAAGCTATAACTGCCCCTATCTTGCTTTCCAGCATCATCTCACCAAAAGAAAACACACCAGGGAGAAGGCCGTCAAGAAGTGCTGTTCTGGCATTCTATGATGAATGTCACAAATTGGCAGGGAATGTTATGGCTGGAGGGAAAGTGGATTTGTGTTTAACTCTTGGTTTATTTGTTATTTTACTTCAAGTGGGAGGAAAACTGTGCATGCTTCTCACTGTTCCTAGGTTAAACCTCTCTCCCAAGAACTATTTTTCCATATTTTTAGTAAATTTTTAACGTTGTTTCAGAAAAATCTTGTTGTTGTCCTTAGTCCACCACCTGCATCTCACAGCCAAGTTCCATGTTATCTTGAGTTGTTGTTGGGGAGGGACAATCCCATCCCTGTCCTTTTGAACACACATAATCTATACTTGCTTCTTGTTCCCTAGGAGTGAATCTCTACCCATGCTATACATACTTTTATATCCTGGTATTCTTCATAATTGGCGAATTATCGACCAAAAATCTTTTAATTATTGGAATGCCAAAGAAAGAGCGGGAGAGAATATCAGCACTGATCTAAATTTTCACTGGAGTATGTTGAACTAGAGTATGTTGATACACACAAACACACCATATATATGGCTGCGATAATTGCTCTTGCAATACATACAAGAGAAAGCCAATATTCACATTGTAATAAACTTTGACATCAGACTTCATTCTCAATTAAAGGCTATTTGCCATGCTGCTGGCAGTCTTTAATTGATCACACACACACACACACACACACACACACACATTAGCACATAGTATTTATACAAAATAATATAAGAAGAAATAATAAACACCACTCAGGATGTAGTCTTAATTTTAAAGTAAGTCCTATGCCATCAAAAAGAATTAACGTATTTTTCCATGTATAAGATGATGTTTTTGCTTTAAAAAAATAGGCAAAAATTGGGGGTAGTCTTATACACAGATTGTGAATGCAGGGGGTGGGTGGGCAGGTGATTGGTGGTGGAGGACAGGTGAGCATTGGTGCTGGCGACCTTACCTCATAACGCTCAACAACTCAAGGGCAATCTTCCCCCAAAAAGCTCAACAACCTTGGCAAACTCCCCTTTAAAAAGCTCAAGGATATATTGATTTCTTAATTTTGGGTCCCAAAAACTTGGGGTCATCTTATACATAGGCAAAGGGACCCATGACCATTAGGTCCAGTCGTGACCGACTCTGGGGTTGTGATGCTCATCTCTCTTTATTGGCCGAGGGAGCCAGCGTACAGCTTCCGGGTCATGTGGCCAGCATGACTAAGCCGCTTCTGGTGAACCAGAGCTGCACACAGAAATGCCCTTTACCTTCCCACTGGAGCGGTATCTATTTATCTACTTGCACTTAGACGTGCTTTCGAATTGCTAGGTGGGCAGGAGCAGGGACCGAGCAATGGGAGCTCACCCTGTCGTGGGGATTCGAACCGCTGGCCTTATGATCAGCAAGCCCTAGGCTCTGTGGTTTAACCCACAGCGCCACCCGCGTCCCCATCTTATACATGGGGTCATCTTATACACAGAAAAGTACGGTACTTTCCAGAGCAGTGTAATAAGAAATGAAATGACAATCTTTTACAGTGCAACAACTCCCAGTGACTTCATCTAGATACTGAACAATGCCTACAAAGCCCCTTTTGGTCAAGCCCTGCCCTTAGGTGCCCCAGTATAAGGGAACTGGGTATGGCTAAGCCTATAGGGCCCAATGGGGAGATCTGGGGGGTCCCAATTTGGCCTGTGAGCTGCAGGTTGGCTACTGCTGCTTTTGAGTGTGATAGGCTTGCTGGGGGCATGTGCACAGACCTCCACACCTTTCCTTCCAGTGGCCTGCTGGTCTGCTTTGATGCCTGTCTGTGAATTATGAAACAAAATGAAGGACTTGGATCTCATCTCACATACAGAGGGATGCTGAAGAATTTGATCTCATACCTCTCAACCATTCTGATTTAAGCGGGTGACCCCAGAATGATAGAAGCCGACCCTGCTTTCTGATCTTGCGGCAGAGCTTCAGACAAAAAGGCATTCATTTTTTTTGTTGGGCATTTTGGCCGGAGTCAACTTGCTTGCCCCAAAGTGGCTGACCCCCCAAAAATGAGCATCCCAATTTGGATCCCCTGGATCTTGGAGAGTATGTAATCTTTGTAAATTCTACTTTGAACTGACCTAATCTGTATCTCCAAAATTAATGTGCAGATCAGAATTTAGGTACCTTCTTGACTTTTGCAGTACTCAACTGTAAAAATATATGTGCATATTTTAGGAGAAAATAAATTGTGAAGTGTATTTTCAGAGTTTTTTTTGGGGGGGGCTGTTTTTTCACAGATGAATGACAAATGGGATGTCACACATGTGAGTGAACACAAGTGATAGTTACATGGACCAGAATTTGGAAAAAGGGCTGTCCTTCCCTAATATCTATTGCTTTGCCCTCCTATCTATCCATTGTGCTTAGCTTTCCAAATGAATTCAGTTGGGATTAAAATAACACTGAGTGCATCTTGTGCATTCATTTCATTCATTTTAATATAGAACTTAAGGTAGAAAATATACCACTGCTAAAACTATACAACTTTAAGATGGTACTGTATTGTAGTAGAGTTTTACTCTCAGTGTCCTGGGAAATATAGACAGAATAGTGTCGCATACGGTATCCTATAATGAAAGTGCAAAATATAAATAAAACAGTCAATCAGAATTACTCTAGAGGTTGTTTTTGAATTGCTCCATGATACTTTAAGAACAGTTCCCAAATATATGAAATGTGGAGACGGTTCATTTTCCTTGACGCTGGAAGCAATCTCTCTGCTGTGCATCCGAGATAAATGGGAAATAAAACAGTCCACAAACATCAGCTTGTGAACCCCATCATAAAATCTGAATTGCAGAGACAGTGTTTCACATCACTTTGAAGAAATAGTAAATGGCACTGTGAAATTCATTGTCTGTGGGGATCAAGTGGCAAAGCACGCCTTAACCTCCATGTATACCAAGAAACTCTCAATGTGCTGAAAACAGTGGACTTTTCAAATGCTGGCCCAAAAGAAGAAAAAAGTATCAATTGATGAGAATGTTTAGAGACTTTATTATGTCTCTTGGAACCAATTCATTTGCTATGGCAACATTAGACCTACATGCATATTTATTTAAAATGTCAAAGGACCTAGGGTTGCCATATTTCAAAAAGTGAAAATCTGGACACAAAAGTTGTTCAGCTTTTTTTGAGGTTTTCTTGGGCAAAATCACAAAAAATGACATTTTTGAGCTATTTTTAAGGAAAATTGGACTGCCGACACATGGGTTGCCACATGTTCAGATTTCCCTGCACGTTTTTGCCGATTTCCACCCAGACACTGCTTCTGACAGCAGTATTTTGGGTATGTCTGGGAAATTCCGGACGTATGGCAACCCTAGGTATTCACATGTAACTTTCAGAAGGTTACACACTAGTCATCCTGTGCGAATCAAAAGCATACATGTTTTCACACTAGTACATGTGTACAGGCAATTTGTCCACCAAAGAATTTTGGGAAGTGTAGTTCTTTAAGGGTGCTGAGAGTTGCTAGGATACTCCCATTCCTCTCACAGAGCTAGAATTCACAGAGTTGTTGAACAATCAAACCCTTTTTGCAGAGGTCACTGGAAGTATTAAAGGCCTTTTCTAAAGCAGGTATATACATGAGTATATTGATTCAATGGTAGTCAATATAGTGCCCTCCAGGGGGTGTGGCAGTGTAGATTTTATCATCCGTTAACACTGGCTGTGTAGGGTGGGGCAGGTGAAAGGGTATCTAGAAGGCATCATAGAATTGTAGAGTTGAAAAGGGTGCTGAGAATCACCTAGTCCAACCGCGTTCAATGCAGGAATATGCACCTGTCCCATACAGGGATCAAACCTGCAACCTTGGCACTATCAGCACATGTTCTAACCAACTGAGCTATCCAGGCATGCACAATGTTGGCTATCATTGTATTAATTGATATAGAAAGAGTATATATGTGAGTATCTCTCTCTCTCTCTCTCCCCAACTTATTAAAAAGCCTAACTCTAGCAAGTAGAAGTCTGCTGGGTGAGCAGAACAGCAATATTGGATACAACCCAGAATGTTTGCTGTCGCTGTTTAAGCTTCCACTTTTGCAGATCAGCTAAAATGGTGGCTATGGTTGGGCCACTGGAGAGAAAACTAAAAACAACCCCTCAACAGCAATATGCTTCTTCATGCTTTCAACATACCAGCTGTTCCTGTTTCCCACCCTCCCACCCTTTAAGGTTTTCATTCCTTGACCTTGCTATGGACCTTGGTTGGTCGCTGTTGAGGGGCCTGGTAGGAATTTTTCCACTTGGCAAATTGGCACCAGCCACGTGGTTTTCGCCTACCTTGTAGCAAATCGTCACAACTTTCTTAGTATTGGCGGTTAGGCATTGGTATTGGTATTGTTTTATAGATGGAAAAGGGGAGGAAGCGCCATCACCTGCCCCGCATATTGAAGGGTGGTCCGATAAAGGATTCTGGGGGCGTGGCCCTGTCCAAAGCCTATAGAGGTGAGGGCCTAAGGTACGCCCCCGAGCGGTGACCCTGGGGGAGTTCCTAGTTGATGTGCATCAGCAGGACTCCCCCTACTGGTGGATAGCCCTTCCTGGACTTCGTGCGGATGGGCTGAAGCCAGATATAGTCGGTTAGGACCAATTCCCAAACCAATACCGCTCATCACCTGTAACCAATAAAGTTGTGGCCTTATTTAGCCCATTAACCTTAATAATTGTGTCATGTGTCTTTAATTCCACTGGGGGGGCGGGGCGGGAACTCACCACACAAAGCCGCTTTTGACGAACCAGAGCAGTGCACGGAAATGCCATTTACCTTCCCGCTGGAGCAGTACCTATTTATCTACTTGCACTTGACGTGCTTTCAAACTGCTAGGTGGGCAGGAGCTGAGACTGAGCAATGGGAGCTCACCCCATCGGGGGATTCGAACCACCGACCTTCTGATTGGCAAGCCCTAGGCTCTGTGGTTTGGACCACAGTGCCACCCATGTAGATTGCACTTACTTCCCATTGTATTTCATTTGAACAGAGATTTAAATGGCTTGTAGAGGAGTTCTTATTTTTATTTGCTAATGTATTTGACACGAAAGAAAGAGAGATTCATCATTAGAGTGGCTTTGCTGAGTTGACTTCAAATGAGTGAGAAACTTTCAAAATTATGAAGTCTAAATGGCATAAAAAGACAGCAAGATTGGAATGGAGCCAAGACTATCAGAATACAGTGGTACCTCGGGTTACATACGCTTCAGGTTACAGACTCCGCTAACCCAGAAATAGTACCTCGGGTTAAGAACTTTGCTTCAGGATGAGAACGGAAATCGTGCTCTGGTGGCGTGGCAGCAGCAGGAGGCCCCATTAGCTAAAGTGGTGCTTCAGGTTAAGAACAGTTTCAGGTTAAGAACAGACCTCCGGAATGAATTAAGTACTTAACCTGAGGTACCACTGTATAACACTACTTCCTGTCTTCTGGTTTGAGTGATTTTCTTTGTCCTGAGTTCTGATGTACCTGAAGGGTGTTAAGGGATTTGCTAGCTGCATGCTGATCTTCTTCATGGCTAATATAAAGTCTAGAGCAATACTTACATAGAGAAAGCTAACTCTCCAAACCTACAAATGAGAATTAATTCCCCTTTTCCTAACCATTCTCTTGTTATCGGAAAAGTAATAACAGTAATAACCAAATATGGATTATCATATGCAAAATAAAAATCTGTAACACAGTTGTAATAAGTTTAAGTATATTCTATTAACTGGTCTTACTGAGTATTTCAGATATGTGAATCTGGTAATACATTAATACCATTAACTTAAGGAATAAGAATTGGGAGCTCTAAGCTTTTGCCTCAGAAGATTTTTGAGTTGGAATATTTTACAACATTGTTTCTTGTTACAACCTACAGTCTCAAACTGTGGAAACTGTGTGTGACCTATGGGAGGGGCAAGTCCTTGTAGGCTGCCCCACACAAAGTGCATTACAGTTTTCCATATGAGAGGTCACCAGAGCATGAAAGACTGGCACTAGGGTATTCTGGCTTGGGAATGACTGGACAAGAAGCAGGGAAGAGAGTAGTGAGGATGTTAGGTAACAATAAGCAGAATACTTCTGATATATCACTGATCTATTGAGATCTTCTGATGGAGCACTTCTGGTGAGTACCCATGCTCCTGACCAGGGGCGCCATCTGAGGAGGGGGTGCCAAGCTGCCAGGGGCCCCATATAATTAATAAGGGGGCTGCCCCAGCAATTCTTTATTTAGAATAATACTTTATTTAGAATTCAACAATAACAAAGGGGGGGGGGAGAACCACAGTGGTTGCTACATCAAATCATTACAATTAACCAATTTTAACAATGTATAAATAATAATAGAGAATAGAGAGAATAATAGAGAAATTACACAACATCACTTTTAACTTACTGAGGTTTTCATATTACACTTTTATCTCTTTATCTCTTTCTTAACATATCAAAAAGAGAAAGACCAAGAAAGGAGACACAAAAAGGAAAAGAGAAGAGGAAGAAAAAGAAGGGGGGGAGTGAGGGGAAGGGGGGGAGGAAAAAGAAGAAGAAAATAAAACAAAACAAACACATTTGGCTTCTGTTTAGACTCACTGTATTATTATTTCTACAATTTTTTCACACACACTTCCTAGTTATTGTATTTCTTTCTTTGTTTTCATCAGAGGTCAAAAAACATTATATTTGTTGTTTTACAAGGTTCATTCTATGTCTGCCAGGAGATATTTGTTATTGTAATGCTTTCCCAAATACTCTTTAAAGATTTTCCATTCTTTCTGTACTTTTTGTTTTGGATAACCTCTAACTCTCCCTGTCATCATGGCCATCTGTAGATTCTAGGGTGATCCGAAAAAGGATGCACCAGGACGAAGATGCTTGGCCCTGGCATGTCCCTTTGACGACCCCCAGAGCACCTCCCCAGAAGGTACTCAGGCAATCTCTACGAGGGACGCATGGGGAGAGGCATCTTCACCCTGCTTGTCCCTTTCACAAGGTAAAGCGGCTGTCAGTGGGTGGGTGAGGGATGGCAGATGGCAGGCCAAGTTGGCTTGGCCAGACTGGGGTGGGTGGGTTGTGTGTGTGAGTGGGGTGGGTGGGTGGGGTCGTCCTCCACAAGTGACGCTCCCCCCCCCCAATGTTGGGCGCAACTTGGCATGCCTGCTCCTGAGATTAAGTTGGCCTTCATGTCAGGAGTCCAGGTTCCCACTTGATAACACAGCAAGTGTAGTTAATTAAAAAGGATGATTTATTGTCAAAACAAACAGATAGCTCCGGGCGGCTCTAACACAGCCTCCAACATCATCAATCAAGATGACCCTTCTGAAGACTTCTACCGGTTTCTACAGAAGATAGAGAACTTTTGTGTCTTATGTCTCTTGCTTTGTTTCCGTTCTAACAGCCTTCCCCTTAGCCTACTTTGAGGAGGGATGGGATCAGCTCCCCCCTCCTCCATTTCTGACAAACTACTTCCATCTCTGTTCACTCCTGTTTGAACTTCCTGAGAACTTTGGCTGGGTTCCAGCCCACGCTCAGCCGTTCCCTTATCACCCGGCATTCCAAGGGGTAGTTTCATGCTGTTCATCCTGCATGAAAGTTAACTCTCTCTGTTCCCAGCTGCTTTCTTCTGTTGACTGCAAACCTTCACTGGGAGCTGGTTCAGTCCTGACACTTCACTAGAAAAAGAACCTTTGCCATGAAACCAGCAGGAACATTTTTTCCCCTTTTTTCCAAAGTCTCTTAAATAAAGCTGTACATTTTATACAGCTCTTCAAATGATTTCCCCCCTCTTTAACCAACGACTATCAACTGCAGCTTTATTGATGTTTTAAAATATGTTTTACAGATATTTATTGATAGTTTTTGTTGTAGTTATGTTGTAAGCTGCCTTGATTTATTTTATGAGACTGCAGATAACAAATATTCAAATGAATGAATGAATGAACTCCTTTCAAAACGGTCCACAGGTCCTTGTTTGCAGTTCCATAGACATAGCTGCATACACAAGCCCTGAATATGGAGTTTGCATTTTTGTTGGGTGGGAGTTTCAAAATATCTGAGAAAACTGCATTACAACAACACATCATACTGCACATTTTTATGTGGCAAAATTCCAGGACGCTGGAACTCCATCCCCTTTTTTACATGGTTATAATTATATGGACATCTCATTCTGGAGTTTCACAGAGCCAAAGAACCAAAGAAAGCTAAAGAACAGTGGCTGAGCACTGCAATTTGTGATCTGCTTCCTAGGGACAAATGTAATGATCGAGGGGAAGTCTCACAACCGCCTGACAAATTTATTATTATTATTATTATGCCACCAATACTTCACAAGCTAGGGAAAAGGATGGCTCACAGAAAGATCTAATACAATCAATAGGATACAATTACCTCTATTGATTTTTTTAGGCAAGGTTCATCAGCTAAATCCATGTCACAATGTATTTGGGATCAATGTGCCATAAAGCAGATCAAGTATCTAGGAAGTTGGTTGCCCATTCTGTTACCTTTCACTGCAAGAGAGCTTGGAAATGAGTTAGTAATCAGCATGGCAATGACATGTACCCAGTATTTTAAAGAAAGGGATCTACAGCCCCATGCCCTCTGGAAATCCTGCCCTTCTCTTGACTATTTTTATTTGATACAAATGGCAAAACGTAGCTCTGATAATTCAGGTCGTGATGGCCAACCAGATGCCTATAGGAAGCTCATGACGGGAAGATTCATTTCAATCTAACTTCTGGCCAAGGTTGGAACATTTTTGTTTTGTTTTGTTGGCTAGATAGATTTTTTGGTTAGATAGATTACCTATGCTGGATCTCTCAGCAAATCTCTTTCAGTCTTAATTTCAGTTCTCAACATTTGCATATCAGTTTGCAATCCTCATGATAGTCCAGAATGTGGCTTCCAGTGTCTCCAACCATTGTGTCCATATTATGCCTGTACTTTACCAGCTTCACTTGCTACCAGTTTCTTTCTGGGCTTAATTCACAGTGTTTGTTGTCTTCTTTTAAAGCCCTAAATGGTCTGGAAGAAATGGCCTTAAGGACCACCTCTGTGGTCTAATAACACATTTTCACTTGTACAGAAATGTTCATCTGACGCATAGAGTTGTAAGGAGACTTCATTTGCTGTTCTGCACTGCATGAAGCACAGTTTCCGTTCTGCTACAGTTTGTCTTCCACCAAAAATCACATCATTTGCCTCACTATGGCAAAATTGTGTAACTTTCAAAATTTAGGAAACAAATATATTAGAATTTATGTTGTCTTTCCATTATTTCAGTCAATTCATATAAAAACAATAGAGACATGATGCAAAGGGAGAAAGGAACACAAACAATGTATAATTTATAGACGGAAAGCGATAACAATTGCATGAGCTAGTGTCAGGATGCTGTCAGCAGCTCCCGGCTGGTTGCGCAGGAAAGGAAAAACTTCTTACTGTCCTTTTTTATTTCAGTCTTTACAGAGAGAGGCTATAAAACCCAGCCTCTTGGATAATGGCATTGTCCCATGTGAATCTACACCCCCGTCTTTCCCACTTCCTCATTCGTCATTCTCATTGTCTCATCTGCAGGTGCTGCTTCATGCCCTAGTCTTTGAGCTCTTTGCTCTCCTACTTTTAATGCTCACTGGGTTCTGGGAGATGGAGGGTCTGGAATGCTTTCTAATGACCATGTGTCAGCTGGGTGTTGTTCTGGCTCTCCCATGATTTCCCAACTTTCCCCCTCATCTGCTTCTGAGCTGCTACCTCCCTCAACCCCCTGTTGTAAATCTATACTGTCTTCCTCTTCCTCCTCCCTAGGAAGGGTCAGGATGGGGAGGTGGTCTCCACCATTCCTCCTCTGCCCAGACCCTGACAGCTAGATTGATTGACATTCCGGACATGGGATGAATAAGTGAACATCAACAATTTCTGCTCCCATTCAGAATTCTCTAACATCCCTAATGAATTGTGGAAAGCAAGCCTTGTGACAGTTTGGAAGGCCCTTGTGACATCTCCCTAGATGCTCAATGTGAAGATTATGGTTTGTTTGTTTTAATTGTGTCAGATCTGAACAGCCATAGTTTTGAGGTTCCCTGGCACTCTTGCTCCCTTGAGTGACGATTCTGGCTAGTAAAAGACCCGGCTTCTGCCAACTGGCTTTCAGTAGTCAGGATGGGCATAAGTCCAGTTTGCAATTAGTCATCTTCATAACTCTAGGCCTCCCTCCCGTATATGTGGGTGACACTAATTGAAATGGATGCAAAGTCTTGCAACAGTTTTGCTTGAGTCATCTACTGCTTTGCATCATCTTAAGCAATTGCTCTGCAGGCTTCTTAGCGGAGCACATCTGTTTGCTGCTTGAGGAACACTGAGAGACTTGCATTGCGTTGAGCAGGCTGGAGAATTGTGAGACATGAAGTTAAAATTCTTTGTGCAATCAGCAGCAACTCGTGGTAATACTTTCCCTGGTCTGTACATTTCAGGTACAATGGAGTGTCCATGTTAGTTTCCATGTCTGAATGATTCCCAATGGGATAAAACCCAGCTTCTGTATGTTGAAATATCAAATATTAGTATTTAGCATAGCCTTTTCCTACTTGGTAGGAATATAGGAAACTGCCTTATAGTGAGTCAGACTCCTTGTTCCACCTGACTCAGTGCTGTCTACACCATGGTTAGTCAACATGGTGCCCCCCTGATGTTACTGGACTACAACGACCATCTTCCCTGATCAATCACTGTGCTAAATGTGGCTGATGGATGTTGTAGTCCACCAATATCTGGAGGGCACCAATATCTGGAGGGCTAACCCTGGTCTACACTCACTAGCAGCAGTCAAATCTTGGTGGTGGTGGAGAAGAGTAGAGGCAGTGGTTGCAATTTTAAAATTATATTTCAGAATCTCATTTCTTATATTCTTTCTGATGTGCTAAAAATTAGTTTTTATGAATTCTGCTGCTGTGGAAATGTGAACTTAAAACAACTCTAGATTAATCAAATGAATTCCTTATTCACTTAATATTACTTAATATTAAGTATGGTAGCCTTAGTACTATAATTTTATTTTTTATTGTTCCAGAACAATTTGGTATTTTTTAAATAGACAAATAGTCCCAAATCTTAGAAAACAGTGCAGTGCAGCTTGTTTTTAACTGATCTATGTATTAATGATTAATTAAAGTTCCTTTCGTAACACTGCAAACTAACCATGCCTATTCAGAAGTAAGTGGCTGGGATTAGGTTTGCACCCCAATCGTGAAACATTCCATTTGCTAATTGGGCAATGGCATTGTTTCACGCATAGTGAGATATTGTCAATAGCATGAATATCATGCAGAGTGAAAGATCCATTATGGGGGGGAAATGATCTCCCTCTTCCTCCTCCTCTTCTTCTTATTCCCCCATCTCCTCCTCTTCCTCCTCTTCTTCTTCTTCTTCTTCTTCTTCTTCTTCTTCTTCTTCTTCTTCTCCTCTGCATCAGAAGCCAGATGGTTGGGCAGCTGGATGCTTGAAGCTTTTTAATGAGAAGAGGAATTTTGTCTTGCCCTCAACCCTCCAAAGGGGACCTCTCTTCACAGTGGGCATACTTTTTGTAATAGCATTATTAGCCCCTTTCACAGCAGATGTGAAGGGCTGTTCTTGGCTTTTTGAAACTATCCAGCCAGCTTTCCTTGAAATAGAACAAGGCTGATTGGGCATTGTGTTAAAAGAGAGAGAAAGATACGGCCATTGGTGGAACTGTAGGGATTTAGTGCCAGTTTAATTGCTGAGGACAAACTAATTCTGGAAGCCTAATGCCTGCTTGCGAAATTGGTTGAGAGGGGGAAAGGAGAGAGAGAGAGAAACAAAAGTGTCAGCAGCAAATGAAGACATGCGTGGAACACAGAAGACTGAAAATGCTCTTTCTAAAGAGAGGACCTAGTTTGAAATAATGAGATTTCAGAGAAGCTGAATGAATTCTTTGCAAACTGTCTTCACAGTGGAAGATATAGGGCAGATCCCAGTGCCTGAACTAACTTTTGCAGGAAAGGAGTCTGAGGAACTGAGGCAGAAAGAAGAGAGAAGAAGGCTTAATAGATTTAAAAAAAAAAAGCTCAAACATGAAATTGCAGATCTTCAAACAAAAATATATTATATTTCTCCAAGATCAGCCTCCATACCTGAGGACTAGGAAGTAGCCAATCCACCGCCATCTTTTTGAAAAGGGGTCCAGGGAGAATGTTGGAAACTACAGGTCAGTTAGTTTAACATGTCCCAGAAAACTGTTGAACCTCTGGTGCGTACTGAATATCTTTTTCAGGTGTTTTAACTGAGTTTGACACACACACACACACACACACACACACACACAGAAGGGGAAATCACACTTTTCCGTTCGACACAGAGCCTCTTTCCCTATGTGTATTTCAGTGTTGTCCTTAGAGCAAGTTGTGCCCCTTTGTTTCCATGATATCAAACTTGTATCTTTTGTTTTTCAAAAACAACAACAACGCAGAAGGATAAAGGTGAAAGCACCACACAGTGAAATATGCTAATTCTTCTCAGACAAAAAATTAAAAATTGTCCAGTAGCACCTTAGAGACCAACTAAGTTTGTTCTGGGTATAAGCTTTCGTCTGCATGCACACTTCTTCAGAGTATTCTTCGTATCTGAAGAAGTGTGCATGCACACGACAGCTTATAGTCAGAACAAACTTAGTTGGTCTCTAAGGTGCTACTGGACAATTTTTTAATTTTTTTTGACTGCGTCAGACCAACATGGCTACCTACCTGAATCTTCTCAGACAGTTGAAAAGAAGTAATATTGAAGATCAATAGGTGCTTATGCTAGTTGAAGAATGCTAATAACTGGTCTGAGACTGCCAAAGGCTGGGCATGGGACACAAAAGCTACTGGTTGCTATAGAACCAGTGGTCCTCCCCCTTTTTTTAATGATCCCACTGATCGAATAAGAAATGCAGTTCGCAAGAACACCTTTTGAATTCCAGATGCTGGTGCTTTAAAGGAACTGAGAAATGGACCTGCAAATGAAAGTGGAAATTCTAAAATATTTCTTCCACGCCCTGTTATTATTACGAGTTCTAGCAATTGTATTTTGCACAAAGGGATTTTTTTTTGTTAAAGAATTATTAATAGGCAGCACTATATAAAATACGTTGGAGAGCTCTAAACTTGGTGGTAGCTACACAGGGATAAATTGTGGTTAAGGCCATATTTTCCAAGGACAAGCACAGCTGAAGTTGCTAGCAGGTACCTTGAACCATCAATACCAATTGGGCAGCAATGTGCAATGCTGGAGCTAACTGGACACCCAAGCTGTAGACTTGGTCCTTAGGCATCAGTGTAACATTAATAAGCAAAATACCAGCTCCGTGGTCAGCTGTGCCAACTACCAACAGCACTTGCATCTTGTCTGGATTTAATTTGGGTGCCAGTACATACCATAAAGAAGGCTGATCGCCGAAGAATTGCTGCTTTTGAATTATGGTGCTGGAGGAGACTCTTGAGAGTCCCATGGACTGCAAGAAGATCAAACCTATCTATTCTTAAGGAAATCAGCCCTGAGCGCTCACTGGAAGGACAGATCCTGAAGCTGAGGCTCCAATACTTTGGCCACCTCATGAGAAGAGAAGACTCCCTGGAAAAGACCCTGGTGTTGGGAGAGATTGAGGGCACAAGGAGAAGGGGGCAACAGAGGTCGAGATGGTTGGACAGTGTTCTCGAAGCTACCAGCATGAGTTTGACCAAACTTCGGGAGGCAGTGGAAGACAGGAGTGCCTGGCGTGCTCTGGTCCATGGGGTCACGAAGAGTCTGACACGACTAAACGACTAAACGACAACACATACTTCCCAAATCTTTCTTATGTGGCTTTCACATGTTGATTCAATCCAGTTAGCTCAATATTTGGTTTCATATTTGTCATGGGTTTTTTAGAATCATGTATGAGCAAATAAGATTACAGTGGTACCTCAGGTTACAGACGTCTCAGGTTACAGATGCTTCAGGTTACAGGCTCTGCTAACCCAGAAATAGTTCCTTGGGTTAAGAACTTTGCTTCAGGATGAGAACAGAAATCGTGCTCCAGTGGCGCTGCAGCAGTGGGAGGCCCCATTAGCTAAAGTTGTGCTTCAGGTTAAGAACAGTTTCAGGTTAAGAACGGACCTCCAGAATGAATTAAGTTCTTAACCCGAGGTACCACTGTATTCTTTGAATGTGAATGTGTCAGTAGAAAATGAAAACAAACATTTCTTATGGAAGGAAATTGGCAAAACATGTTCCTTGAGTATACTGTTGTTTAAATCTGATCACTGGTCTGTTTTTCTAAAAGGTCAAAGCATGAAACATTTAAAAAGTAAACAGTAGGCAGAAAAATGCAAAATTTGTTGCAATATGCTTTCTAAAAAGGAAAAGGTGGGAAAAGACACTGTCATTTAATAAAGAGAAAAAGTGTGACGCACAAACAAACCAAGTGGTTTTTTCCCCTCTTCCCAATTGCAAATGCTGCTAAATCTGGTTTCAGTACAGCCAGTACATTGTCACTCCCTCACAGTACAATAGAAAAATACAATGAAATTATAGTTATTATTGCTTAGAATTCCTACAACTGACACACAGTCCCAGATTAATTACAACTTTACAATTCAATCACATTGCATTTGTAGGCATCATGGATTTTTAAATGTGCCTTGAGTGATTTATGAACAAGAGAAAAGCTCTGAAGATTAAACTGCAACCTTAATATTTGGTTATGATATGCCGACATTGCTCCTATGTCCCCAGGAGAAACACACAAGGCAGTGCTTGCGGTAAACTAAGATCACAACTTTGCTCAAGGAAAGCAATATTTAGAATTAGTGGGGGAAAGGCTGGTAACTTCACACCCTGTTTGTGGGTTTTCTGATATAACAGCTCAAGGTCCAGAAGCTGTGTCCTTCTATGTATCAGATGCTTGCCTAGATTGCTGTGGATTTTGTTAACTTACTTTGGAAGCTGGGATTTGATAGGTCAAATAATAATAATAATTGGTGATATAACACTCCCCCCCCTTTCTGCCAAACAAAAGTCTGAAGGTCTGCATGTTGTCATTAATTAGAAATATTTCTGAAGAATCTCCAAGACTGTTTAAGCACCAGCTTTTTCTCTCAAAATATTCCCATATATATATATATATATATATATATATATATATATATATCCTAAAATGATCTACCATAAATTTTATTTTGATGTTTGCACATTTGTAAGATTTCCTGATAGAACAATGCAGGGGGACAAGGGAGTGGTGTTATAGTGAAGTAGATTATTTTGGGTGGGTAGGTATATTTGAGAAGATGTGGAGCTCAGCTATGTAGAACGGTAAATGTTAAATGTATAAATGTGGCCATTTAGCTAGTTTTGTATCTTCAGTGGATCATTGGTTGGCAGTAAACAACTGCACAGTACAGTTAAGATTATATAATTTTATCCTAGCCATTGTAATAAATTGAAAAAATTGATTTTCTAGAATACTGCCTAAAGGGGAAAAAAATGAAACCATTTGAGAGGAGGCCAGGAAAACAAAGATTAATGCATGGTGAAGGTCTTTTCTACAGGAGTTAAGGTTTATGATTTGTAACATAAGAAAGTGCATTCATTAGATCCTGAAATGCAAAAGGTAGATTTATGTTAAACAAAATATGAAGTGTCAGGGAAGAAATTATAAATGGATCGCTGAAATGGACAACTAAGGCATCCATTGCCACATAATGCATTGGATAGATAGCAGTATCACTGATTATTAAAGGATGCTTTCAATACTTTTTCAGCAGCATCACTCAGAAACCTTGCTAAATTTATTTGCTCAACATCCTTTGCAACTGTTACATGCCTGATAGTTCTCCTGATAGTAAACAGATGCTAAATTCTCAAAGAAAGTCACCGGTCTGATGGGATAGCATTGTAAGGAAGGAATGACATCAACATCATTTGCATTCTCATCTTTCCAAGGGAAACAGCATCAAATGAATTTACTCAGGAGGAAGAATGCTGGGAATACAGCAATTTGTGAATTTCATAATTGTCTGGCTAAGATGGGGATCGAACTGGAAACTTTGCTCACAAAAAAAGAAGAGTTTGGATTTGATATCCCGCCTTTCACTCCCTTTAAGGAGTCTCAAATCGGCTAACATTCTCCTTTCCCTTCCTCCCCCACAACAAACACTCTGTGAGGTGAGTGGGGCTGAGAGACTTCAAAGAAGTGAGTAGTCCAAGGTCACCCAGCAGCTGCATGTGGAGGAGCGGAGACGCGAACCTGGTTCCCCAGATTACGGATCTACTGCTCTTAACCACTACACCACACTGGCTCACCACACAAAAGAGATCGGCAGTCCTTCTGGGCTGCCTGTGGATATTCTTTCACTTATCTGAAGCTGGTTTTGAACCAGCACTGGAGGTAAAGGGTATCGCCCCACCTCATAAGTTGTTGATTGAATATATATGACCCCAGTTCCTTACAAGTCCTTCCAGGGCAGGTGGCTGAGCTTCTATAGCACCACTGTAACATCTGAGATGCTTAACCAGAAATTTCCCAGTTCAAACACTTCAGCTATAAACTGGCAAGCTGCAATACCCCTTTCTGTATGTACATCATGCGGACAATATTTGCATGGGGAGGCCTGGAGCACATTTTCCAATGGCACAGTATGAGCCCCAACTCCAATGGCCGCACATTAGATGGGATGGGCAAAGATGAGTGCCTGGACTCACAGTTTTAATGGTTCTGTTTATTTATTTTTAAAAAACTATAAACCATTTAGAGGGACTTGGGTGGTGCTGTGGGTTAAACCACAGAGCCTAAGACTTGCCGATCAGAAGGTCGGCGGTTCGAATCCCCGCGACGGGGTGAGCTCCCGTTGCTCGGTCCCTGCTCCTGCCAACCTAGCAGTTCGAAAGCACCTCAAAGTTCAAGTAGATAAATAGGTACCACTCTGGCAGGAAGGTAAGCAGTGTCTCCATGTGCTGCTCTGGTTCGCCAGAAGTGGCTTAGTCATGCTGGCCACATGACCCAGAAGCTGTACACCGGCTCCCTTGGCCAATAAAGCAAAATGAGCGCCGCAACCCCAGAGTCGGCCACTACTGGACCTAATGGACAGGAGTCCCTTTAACTTTTTATAAACCACTTAGAAGCCTACTCTAGCTTTAAGTGGAACCTGAAATGAAGATGATGTTAATGCACAGCATACTCTTTAAAGCTGTGTAATAGTAAAGCAGAATATTATCAAATAAGAATGCAAGACACAAACAATGAAAAATCTTTGGAAACGATAATGGGGAAGGTATGAGAATAACATAAAAATAGTACCCAGAGTTTGCCAGCAGTTAGAGAAACCGTATTTGAGGAATTCCAAGAGATAAGATATTTACCCCTTTACAGGAGTGAATTAAGCAGACACTGTGCTGCTGTGAATAAGCAAAAGGGATGAATGTAAATCTCTTTACACATCACACGTTTGTTAGCCTTGTTCCTTGAACCATGAATGCAGTATACTGACAGCAAACGTCCCAACAAAATTCTTCATTATTCTTTACCTGTGCAAGTGTGGATAAAGTTCTGGTGAGATTAATGCTTAGGATACGGGAGCTTGAAAACATGTCAAGCAAGGGTATTAGCTTTAAATACCAGAAGTTGTGCCTGTGGATTTATGGAGCCTGTATTGTGAGACATCCTAT